GTAGAGTGGCAAGTATTGGATGATGAAGAGATCGTCGTCCGTCCTGCCTGCTTGATAGGCAAGGCGGAAGTCTTCCAACCACACGACGGGGTTGATGTCCCTAGAGTACTTGACGATGTTCGGTGGTGCGTGGAAACACGCTGAGAATGGTGTCTGCCAGATCCTTTTTGTGAATGCTTGCGGGCCACAGGCGTCTGGGCTCGGCCTGTGTCGAGCGTCCCGAACCCTGGGATGTCGGTCATGATTGTCCAGGTAGCTATCACCGTATTGTAGTTGATCTTTGCCCACCCAGTCTAGCCTAGGGCACCTAGTGCATTGAGTTGGATGGTCATTGAAGTCTCTAATGTAGCGGCTGCATGCTAGAGAGGGTTCCCGCCTACATGCCATGCCGAAGTCACCTGACCAGAGCACGCTTGGTGCATGATGCCCCTCGGGGGCGCCACGCGCCGAGGAGATGTGTACGAGGCTAGCCTTAGGATGTTGCCTCTCCACGGAGCTTTGATCCTGCTACACCACCGTAGTTTCTAGCAGGTATCGCAGCTCCTAATAGACACGCTTTCCCTCGTCGGTCGAGGGTTCAGGGGTCATCCGCATGACCATAGCGGCCGTCGTGATGTTCTGGCTAGATCAAGGGAAGACAGGCATCTCCCTCTTGCCCTGTTGGATTTGATCATACACACGGCATGCCCGCGCCTGCGCCCTCAATGTCATGGTGTTATGGGCTAGGGCATCCATCATCATGGCACTCGTTGGCCTGATTAGCTTCATGGGCCCTGGCTCGTTCTAGGCGCTCCTGGTCATACTCGGCCTATTCTCTGGGGGTGCGTGGAATCGGATAGACGTCGTCCTCTGCGTCCTCTACCGGTGCCACCCCATTCTCCGAGAGGTGCAACATGTTGCATTCTCTCAGCGGCTGGTAGCTCCCCTGAGAATCGGACTCAGAGTCCGTGTTCTCAGGGGTCGCCAGTAGAAGGTCATAGAAAGACTCCGGATCCTGCTCCATCATCCCCACAAAACCGAAGGATTCTGGCATTATCATATGGCCATTGCGCCTGGCTAGCTCCTGCTCGAAGAGTGTGATCGTGTCCCTCATTTCAGAGGGCAGTGCTGTGTTAGGGTTCTAGAATTTGACCTCTGGCGGTAGGGGTCTGTTTCTGGAAAGTTGGGCGAAAGCGTTCGCCAACACGTAGAAACACGTTGGCTTAGCTCTGGCACAAGATTCGGCCCGAGATAGGCATCGATTCTGTATGCTAGCGCATCAGAGTCAACGATCGTGGGACCGGCTCGGGTCGGTCCATAATCAGGCGTCGACATGTGCGACGGAGCCGCATTCTCTTCACTGAGCCGTAGCTGACCCAGGCAGTCGGCTACGAAGTCTAGGTCATTAAAGCGCAGAGCTTGGTCAGGGAGAAGACCATTAACAGGAGCTAGCCCATCGATGTCGGCGAACTCAAGGCTTTCGGAGCGGATGCAGCTGCTAGGGGCTATGCCAAGAGCAAGTTCGACGTAGGTGTAGGGAGCCATCACTTCCATCTCAACAACGAGAGTGCGTGACTATCCGCTACCTAGCGTGCCAACTTTCAGTGTTTTATAAACCGAACTAGTAAATTTATACGATTGCCGCGCTGCTCTAGAAAGTTGATGGTAGCATCCAAAAGACACAAGGATTTATACTGGTTCATGTCGAAGCCCTACATCTAGTCTTAGAGATGATCGAGTGCATGTTCCACGCTTGAATGCTCTAAAGTTCTTACAATGGGGGTGCAATGGTGAAAGAGGTAGGAGATCTAGAGCTAGGAGACGGGCTGCTCGAAGAGAAGCTTTAGGAGCCCTTCTACGGTGTAAGAATGAGTGAATGAGAGTCGGATCTCTAAGATGGATGCCCTGGCTGCGCTTATATAGAGTTTTGGGTTAGGGCGTGTACAAAGAAGAAGGTTCTCTTGATCGAAGGGTCGTGAGCTTGAGGGAGGGCCTAGCTAACTTGGCTTGCAAGCTACGCCATCTTGTGGTGCACGTCTAGGCGTGGTTGTCGTCATGGTCTTGTGGCCACGCCGCGACATGGCGTGACGTGGTGCTACTGTGTTGGCCGTGGCGGCACTATAGGCACAGTGGTTGTTCGCTAGCCGTCCTATACGACGTGGTCTCCGTCGTGGTCTTTGTCATCACCTCCTGGTTTCCTGGGGCATCGTACAGGAGTTGGTAGCTTCCCCTAGGTCGTCGATCGCCCGTGGGCTTGAGGAGCCGAGGGCCATGATCCCAATTGTTGGGGTCGTGGCTCCTGTCGGTCTGGGTGGCCTCTAAGTCAAGGCCTTCGTCGTGGATCCCATCCCGTAGTGGGTAGAATCGTACATGTGTCTCGTCGGGTCATATTTGGTCGGTGGTTTTTGTACCGATCGTCACCGCCTTGGGTGGTGTTGTCTTGTCTGAGCTACGTGGCGCATGGGTGGCATCTGACTAGACTAAGGTGACCGTTGTCCCCTCGGTCCTTGCGGAGTCAGAGTGGCATGCCTACTCCTATCAGAGTGGGCACGTTTGGCTAGGCTCGACCTCTCCCCGTTCCTCCTAGGGGTCGTGGCGGTGAGAGGTCATGCGTCTCTTATGCATCGTGCGTGCGACTAAGGCAGAAGGGAGGGGGCGTGGCTGACCCTGGCCTTGGCGTTCGGTCTGGCTCACTTGGCTCAACTGGGCCTCGGTCTCTCGGGCTTTCGTTGGCTGTTGTATAATGGGCCACTTTGGCCTGTCACTTAGTCGATGCCCTGAGACACCCCGGGGTTATAACCTCGACACCCATCAAACGCCAAAATCCCAAATCTAAAACTAGGGCGGGTCTAGACATGTTCAATAGCACCCCTTTTCCTCTAGCCCATCCTCTCGTCTATGGCTTCACACACGAGACTATATTGCCTTAGACCTTGCCACTTGCTAGGGTTGGTGAGTAGTGACTCGATGGAGGCAGGAGACATAAGAGAGAGGGGATGTGTGAGCCATCAGGGAACTCCACATAAAGCAGCGGTTTCACTTAGCCAACATAATGCCGATGTTTTTAGCTTCCTTGTTTAATAATAATTTAGGTATCTTTTCTTGCTTGCCGCTTGCATGTTCATCGCTTATGTGAGAAACTCTACATTTATGTATTAAAAAATGAATTCTGCGAGCTTTGCTAAATGCACAAGAAAACACATGTCTTGCCTCTAGAGAGTCGGTGGAGATAGAAGACATTAGAGAGAGGGGAATGTGTGAGCCATTGGGGGATTCCACGTGAAGTAGCGGTTTCACTTAGCCAACCGTTTGCCAATGTTTTTATCTTCCTTGTTTAATCTAATAATAATTTAGCTAGCTTTTCTTGCTTGTCGCTTGCACCAGTGCTTATGGGAGAAACTTTGTATTTTTTTATTATTTTTTTTCGGTGCTTTGCTAAATGCACAAAACACCTATCTTGCCTTTAGCGAATTGGTGGAGATAGGACATATTAGAGAGAAGGGATGCGTGAGCCATTAGGGGACTCTCCATATAAATTAGCGGTTTCACGTACCCAACTATTTGACGATGCTTTCGGCATCTTTATTTAATAATAATTTGGCTAGCTTTCTTTGCTTGTCGCTTGCACGTCCACCGCTTCTATGAGTTATCTGCTTTGCTAAATGGACAAAAAAACAACCGTCTTGCCTCTAGCATTTCGGTGGTGATAGGAGACACATTTTTTTTTTGTTGACAAATGATTTTTGCGTGCTTTGCTAAATACACAAAGAAAACACCTGTCTTGCCTCTTGGTAGTAGCGAGTCGGTGGAGATAGGAGACATCTGAGAGAGGAGATGTGTGAACCACCGGGGGACACCACATAAAGTAGCAGCCTCTTGGTAGTAGCGAGTCGGTGGAGATAGAGAAGAGATGTGAGAACCATCAGGGGACTCCACATAATGAAGCGACCGCTTGGTAGTAGCGAGTCGGTGGAGATAGAGAAGAGATGTGTGAACCATATGGGGACTCCACGTAAAGAAGCGGCCTCTTGGTAGTAGCGAGTCAGTGGAGATGGAGAAGAGACTTGTGAGCCATTGCCCATCGGGAGACAACACATAAAGTAGCGGCGCCTCTTGGTAGTAGTGAGTCGGTGGAGATAGAGAAGAGATGCGTGGGCCATCGGAGGACTCCACGTAAAGTAGCGGTTTCACATAGCCAATCGTTTGCCATGTTTTTAGTTTTCTTGTTTAATAATAAATACCTAACTTTCACCGCTTATGTGAGAAACTCTGTTTTTTTTGGGTTGAAAAATGAATTTTGCGTGCTTTGCTAAAAGAAAACACCTGTCTGTCCCCTTGGTGAGAAGTAACCTGAATATGCTGAGCCTGTGCATATTGCAGGCTGCAAAGCAAGCTGAGTGAAGGCGTAGAAGATCCCGCGGGTGAGGACGACTCGTTTTCAACCCTTGGAAGAGGAGGGAGCCGGGCCGAGAAACGGGAACGAGACGGACGGGGGCCGGCCCCTTTCCTTCTCTTGCCTGCCAACCATCTTCCCGTACTAGTTCCCTGCCCTTGCCTTGCTCCTCTCCTCTCCTCTCCTCCGTCTCCGCCTTCCCTCCTCGCCTAGCCTAGCCCCCCCCGCACGCCACGCCGCATTCGCATCTCCGGATCCCCATTCCCCGCCGCCGCCGCCTCACGCGCCCGCGACCTACCCGGCCTCCCGCTTCGATCTCGCCCCGATTCCACGCGCCCGCCCCCAACCTGATTCGTCCCTGTCACGCGCGCGCGGGTGGGAAGACAGCGATGGCTCGTGGCGGGGGCCTCTCGCCCCGCCGCGGGTGACCTCTCCTCGCGCGGGGAGCCCTCCCGCGTGCCCACGCGGAGGATCCCGTCGCGGCTGGTGCCCCACCTCCTCCTCTCCTTCGCCTCTTCCCGTGCGCGCGCCCTCGCTCCCTCGATTCTAGGGTTTGCTCCCTTCCTCACCACCCGATTTGATTTCGTCCCTTCCGGCTAAGGCTGCTCCGTCTCTCTCCTCCTCCGCCATGTTCTCGCACGGCGCTGATTCCGCCCACGACGCCGGGGCCGTCGGCGTCAGCAGCGGCGGGGCCACCGTCCCCACCCGCTTCGTTTGGCCCTACGGTGGAAAGAGGGTCTTCGTCTCAGGCTCCTTTACCAGGTTGAGTTGAGTTGTTGCTTATGTTTCAAATTCCCCACCGATTATCGTTGCCTGCTCTAGCAGTATGCATGCATGCACTTATCTACTCGCGATTCCACCTGCTTACTAGTGTTATGTTAGTGGAGTAGTGTTATGTTAGTAGAGTAGATGCTCTTGCTTGTGCACAACTAGTTTGATGGCTGCCCCATCCATTGCCTCGTAAGTGTTACGAATGAATCTGGGAACCATATGTACGCATTCCTCACTCTGTATAGGTCTATTCTTGGTGTCATCCTAAGATTTCTTCCTAGCTTTCCTGCAATTCATTGATGCATAGATTTATCCCTCTGCTTCCTTACTAGGTGCAGTGTATCTGTGATCTATCTGATGTCATGAATGATAGGGAACTATAGCTTACTCAATCAATGCAGCTTCCCTTAAACAGGGGGCCATATCAGTTATTTATCCTTACGTGGTGAAGGCGGAATGGTTTGACTTTACTTCTCTCTGCCATTTGCTAACTCACAACGCCCTCTGAATTGTCGCTATTCTGCTGCACCTAACAGCTATGGCTTTTGTCGTAGGTGGTCGGAACATTTGCCGATGTCTCCTGTCGAAGGATGCCCCACTGTATTTCAGACTATTTGCAGCCTGTCTCCAGGGATTCACGAGGTTCCCCTTCTTTTATCTCCGGCCACTTAACTGTTGTCGTGTTCCTGCTGTGATATTTACTGTTTGGATTATTATGACTTCATTCATGTTCTGGTCTCCTCTGGCCCCATCTATGTTTGTAACTTTGCCTTTTGTAGTATTTTTTCTTAATTAATACACTGCGATTATTGTGCTCTTCCTCCAAATTTGGATGCAGTTTAAAGCTTTTCCATGTGTTCTCATGTAAAGTTCTGTTTTTTATTAATAAATTGTGCATGCCATGCATGTGACATTGCACCCTTTTAGATGAGTCTTTGTAACTGCATTTAATTACCAATGCAAACTTATCTTTCTGCTCTCTATTTTTTTATAAAAAAAAAGTGTGCATGGCACCCTTGTGACCAGTGTGTAAAAGCTTCCTAATTTGTTATTGCAGTACAAGTTCTTTGTGGACGGGGAGTGGCGGCATGATGAGCGCCAACCTACTATATCTGGGGAGTTTGGTATAGTTAACACATTATACTTAACAAGGGAATTTAACCAAATAAACGCCTTATTAAGTCTAAGCTCACCTGGAAGCAGGATGAACATGGACGTGGATAATGAAAATTTTCAACGTACGGTAAGGAAGTTCCATAATACTTGATCTGTTAGTTCTGTTTGGTTGGTTTATATTTTTCTAAAGCATTTTATGCTGGACATACATAGCCTTCTTAGTGTTGTGATTTATATTTTTGTGGGTATAAACAATATTTTGGTTTTGTCAGAGAATCATAGGATAGCATAACAATGATATCCTTCTCTTTATAATCAGGTTACGTTGTCGGATGGTACCGTTTCGGAAGGTACTCCGAGAGTTTCGGAGGCTGCAATACAAATCTCTAGGTGCTGCGTTTCTGAATATCTGAATTTGCATACATGTTATGATTTACTCCCGGATTCGGGCAAGGTATGTAAGCCGTGCATTCCATGGTTTTATTTTCAGTTTAAAGTTTTCTAATAAAATGATTAATATATTTTGAATTTCAGGTTATTGCTCTGGACATTAATTTACCTGTGAAGCAATCTTTTCATATTCTACATGAACAGGTATTGAGTCTTACCTGATCTGTCACTTCTATTATATCTTCTATTGACATTCATAAACTTGTGGGCGACCCCTGCTCCATACATGCATCTCAGCCCCAGGCAGGTTTGTCTGAAGGCAAACCAAACAGGCTCACAATGCTTAAGCTGCATGTTAGACTTGTTCTTACTTCATATATTGCACATAGAGGTGCAATATATTTAGCAATTTGTGATATAATAGATGTATTATTTGGTTTCACAGAATCTGATTGTCCACTGGAATTGAATGAAAATTCAAAATTACACTCGTAAAGTGCACATAGACGTACAACTATCTTAACTATTTTTGCAATAGTATGTACAAGTCAATACCATAAACATGTTGCAAAACTAAGTGATGATTTCAATTATTGGTGTCTATACTACATTCTGTTTTCCTAGGTGAAAATTGTCCCAACGGTAGGGCATACATGCAGGACACCTGCCATTTCTTGTTATGCATTCCAGCATTCTTATTATGGTTTATTATGTCATCTTATCAAACTTGCATTGCTTTTTTAGCTGTCACCATTTACCATTTTATGTCTTCCTTCATCAATATTTGCGTAATTTTGAATATGTTCATTTCATGGTTAAACTTGCAGGGGATTCCTGTAGCTCCTCTGTGGGACTCATTCAGAGGTCAATTTGTTGGTCTTCTGAGCCCATTGGATTTCATACTTATATTGCGGGAGGTAAGTTTTTTTTTGCTCTGCTCTTTGCTATTAGTTTTCTTTAATTTCTTGTTACGTTGGTTTTCTTCTGTCATCCCTGCACTCAACTAGATGTGGAATTGGGGAATTGTATAGCAGAGAAGATTTCACAGAGCTTCTCTCAGAGGATTTTGGTAGTAGTCTTAGCGAGACATTGGTTGGACAATGAAAACAAGTGATTTTGGCAACTTGGGTATCTGTTTCTCATTTTACGAGATGCTGTAATACTCAATTTCTGTGCTGTGTCAACTGATTGTCATCATACTGATGCTAGTTGAATTTTTCTATATCCAAAATGGTCAGGAATTAATATAGTGAAAATTGTGGAATCATTGTTAGGAGGATTTTGGAGAACAAAATTCAATGTACTCCCAGAACGGAGATATAAATGACTTTGCGTATTAATCGGTGTCACTATTTTGTTGTGTGTTGTAAACTGAAAGCACGATAGTATGTGATGGATATGGTGTATCTGTAAAGAAATATATATGGTTGAGCTTTATGTGGGCTTATCTTTGGATGTTATTTTGGTTGAATTGTTTTATAAAATTATCATGCTTCTGCTGCAGCTAGAAACTCATGGCTCGAACTTGACAGAAGAGCAGCTTGAAACGCACACTATATCTGCATGGAAAGAGGCTAAGCGGCAAACTTATGGAAGAAATGATGGTCAGTGGCGACCACATCAGCATCTAGTGCATGTAAGTGGTACCTTGTTTATGTTTGGAAAGTTAATATGAATTTCATACCGTTTGAATACTGTGTTTTTATGTTGAATTGATATTTATCATGAAATTGATGATCGAACCTTCGTACTATATCAGGATGAAACTATGGTACTTGATTCTGAATTGCTGGAAGGTCACTGTTAACATTTGTGATGTATGAGTGGCTGAGAGTACAGTTTGGCCTAGCTGCTTGGTTTCTGTGCTGGAGAATGGGTGCTGTGGCTCATTCATTTCAGGTGGAGGGTGGTGGTACTGATGTTGGCTAATAGCTAGATTGGCCCCTACTGTTAAATCTAGCAGTAGGTTTGCTGGAAGCACCCGCTGCAGTTTGAGTGTAGAGTAGCTGGTGATGAGTAGGCATTAGTGAGTGTGAAAGGAGCAGCAGTGCAGGAGATCAGGAGTAGATGGTGCAGGAAGGGTCCATTGATCAGGTAGGGTAAGAGAGGACAACAAAGGGAGTAGATGTGGGGTGTTGCTTCGGGTTCAGTGTTAAGTGGAGCCGTGGGCTGTGTAGGGCCAGAGTTCTTCCTTTTCTGAATTCCATAGTTTATGGTTGCCCGTATCGATGAGAATCACAGGGCTCTTTAACATAATATGTGTTGCGAGTTCCATGGTTGTGAAATATGAGAATGTGAATTGCCTTTAAACTTTAGTGTTTTTTCTCTCTTTTCCTTGCATTTGAAGCTCAGTTTTTTATTTTTTTATTTGCCAATTCTCTCATACTCTTTCGTCTGTTGTGTAGGCCACCCCTTATGAGTCCTTGAAGGACATTGCAGTAAAGCTTTTGCAAAATGGTATTTCTACAGTGCCGGTTATTTATTCATCATCATCGGATGGATCATTCCCGCAGTTGTTGCATCTTGCATCCCTTTCTGGAATTTTGAAATGTAAGTTCTCCCCATTTGAAAACATGGAGCATTTTATGCAATGATGAGTAACTTGTTACAAGATATCTTAATACAGTTTACCTGTATACTTTTCAGGTATTTGTAGATATTTCAAAAACTCGACTGGTAATTTGCCTATTCTGAACCAACCAGTGTGCTCCATTCCGCTGGGTTCCTGGGTTCCGAAAATTGGTGATCCTAACAGTCGTCCATTGGCTATGTTGCGACCTAATGCATCACTTAGCTCTGCCCTTAACATGTTGGTTCAAGGTATGTTCTGTGCTTGTTTTCCTGGAACTGAAAACTACAATTTAGAAATGCACAAGTCATTGGTGCTCCTGCTTGCATTTCCCATGGCAGCTCTTGTTTATCAACTGAAGTTCAACACCAGTTCCATTGGAAACTATTGGCTCTATTATGTAACTAATTTCTTAAGCTTGTACTCACTGTTGTATGCAGCTGGAGTAAGCTCAATACCAATCGTGGATGAAAATGACGCCCTACTTGACACTTACTCTAGAAGGTACACCATTCTGACCTGCAGATGCCTGCTGTCTTTGGCTGTGTTTCTTATATTTTTCCCATGTATTTATCTATCCATTTCACGTTGCAGTGACATCACAGCCCTAGCAAAAGACAAGGTCTACACACATGTTCGGCTGGATGAGATGACCATTCATCAGGTATGCTAGTAAATGCCACACATCTCGATCAAGTCTTTTGGTTGAAAGCCTGAAACAACTCGTTTGAGCTAGCTGACCTTGTTTAACTTAACTATATATGGTGATTTGGTTAGAGGAACTATTACGGGAAGAGTTGGGAATTTGGAAATCGGAAATTAATGCATTATCTCGCTGCTATTTATTTCTGAATAAGTACACATTCTCTGTAAGCAGTTTGGAAAATAGCTTGGGGGTGTTTAACTTTGTTTTTTCGGTAATAAGAGCCAATGCTGATAAGATTTAAGTAGGGTGGAAGTTCTATCCTACATAATAGGGAAAGGAAGATTAAGGACTAGAAGTGGCTGTGCTGTGTAATTTCAAAACGGGGCTGTCCCATGACTTTGTATATGTTTTGGTTTTGGGCTTGAAACTGTTGTGTTGTGATTTTCAGGCTTTGCAGCTTGGACAAGATGCCAATACACCTTTTGGGTTTTTTAACGGTCAGAGATGCCAGATGTGCCTCCGATCTGATCCTTTGCTGAAGGTGATGGAGCGACTGGCTAATCCTGGTGAGTCCGCTGGAACCTGGAGGCTGCTTGTGTTGCTGCCCTCTGAACCTGAACCTGAAGAATAATGTCTTGACGTTTTTGGTATTTTGTTGCTAGGGGTGCGGCGGGTGTTCATTGTGGAAGCTGGGAGCAAACGTGTGGAGGGCATTATATCACTGAGTGATATTTTCAAGTTCTTGCTGAGCTTGTGAGAAGAGAGAAGAGGAGCATGGACATTTGTTTGTGACCAGTGATGGAGTTTTAACAGTAGCAAACAGCAGGGTATGTGAAGCAAGCCGCCATGGATCTCTAACTCTGGCACTCTCCCTCTCTCTGGCCTTTGGGTAAGTAAGGCAGGATTGAAGGTGGCGGGCTTGTCTTTGCAGATAATGGCTGTCCGGGTTCATGGTCTGTAAAGTTCCTTTTTTTTTTTGTTTTTCGTTTTTACCATTTTGTGCCTCCCGTTGCTACCGAAGTATCTGGTGATTTTTATTTATTGGATTGTTTCCTTGCGTGGCTTTGTCGCTGAGAGGACCGACCGCCGGAGCTCCCAAGGAGACAAACTCTTATACATACACTAGATGTTGCATTCTAGTTTTAGGGAGGGAACATGGTATTGCTTTCGCGGGGGCATTTTTCATGTAGTGCTGCTGTCTATTGAGATAGACCGTGTGTGTTGGTTTTGCTGGGCAAGCGTTACCATCAGAGCGATCAATCCTGATGCCTGGGTGGATGTTTTGTATCTAATTGATTACTAATAAATAGGTTGGGGCGTATCTTTTTCATCGCTGGCACGGTAGCATTCTGTTGAGAATGTGGATCGGGCGACGGGCACGGAGGGATGCATCCGTTCCCATTTCCCACTTTCCATTACGCGGCGGGCGGGCTGGCCAGTTGGCCGTCGTGTTCGTCCGGTAGTAAGAAAAATCTAGAGGGTGAAGTGGATAGGATAGGATAGGATAGGACCAATCCACATCTCAGTGTACAAGATTCAGTGCACTCACTAGGAATCCTCGTCCTTCCGTCCGTCCGTTCAAGAAAGAGAAGAAGAGAGCAAGGAAGAAAGCAACCATGGCGGCCGCCGCGGCAACCGCAATGTCCCCCTCCCCCTCGGCCGCAATCGCTCGCCACAGCCATCCTCGCACCTGTGCTGCTGCTTCGGTGGCCCTCCGCTCGGGCTTCCTGGGCCGCGGGCTGTCCGCGGTGCCGGTGGCCGTGGACGACCCCCGCTGCCGCCGCCGCGTCTCCGTGCGGATGGCCTGGGACGGGCCCCTGTCGTCGGTGCGCCTCATCATGCAGGGCAGGAACGTGAAGCTGAGCGACAAGCTCAAGGAGCACATCGAGGAGAAGGTGGGTCGGGCGGTGTCCAAGCACTGCCACCTGGTCCGGGAGGTGGACGTGCGTCTGTCCGCCCGTGGCGGCGAGCTCGGGCGGGGCCCCAAGACGTCGCGCTGCGAGATCACGCTCTTCAGCAAGCGCCACGGCGTCCTGCGCGCCGAGGAGGACGCCGAGTCCACCTACGCCAGCATCGACCTTGCCGCCGCCATCATCAAGCGCAAGCTCCGCAAGATCAAGGAGAAGGAGACGGAGGTGCGGCGCGACGGTGACGGCGACGGCTGGGATGAGGTCCCGCTCCCGCCGGCCGACCTGCTGCTCGTGACCGACGCCGACGCCGATCTTGCGGCGGCCGTGGGCGCTGAGGACGAGCAGACGGTGGTCGCCAAGGTGGTGCGCACCAAGGTGTTCGAGATGCCGCCGCTGACGGTGGAGGAGGCGCTGGAGCAGCTGGAGAACGTGGGCCACAACTTCTACTGCTTCAGGGACGAGGCGACGGGCGAGGTCAACATCGTCTACCGCAGGATGGAAGGCGGATACGGCCTCATCATCCCCAAGGAGGACGGCAACGTCGACAAGAAGGACACCGTTGGCGTCTCGCCGTCACCAGCCGCCGCTGCTCCGGAGCCGTCCTACGCCGTGCACACCGCCGCCGACAACAATTGAACTGATCCATCCAACAACTAGCCAAGGGGAAAAAAGAGAGCATCTTTTGCTTGCTTGCTTGCTACTGTATGTAAAACAAACTCCACCTAGAACTCGTCGACATCTCATCTCCATCAGTTTCAGTTGCATGCATTGGCACATTGCTGTGTCTGTCTGTCTGTCTGTCTGTGTGTGTGTCACTCACACACACACTGCTCAAGTTAACTCTCCTTCATTTCATACTCTGCTGTACTCCTGCTATTAGTAGCAATTGACACACTGCCTTCTATAATACTACGTGGCGTGAGCTTGGTGCCAATGCCAACACGGCCATTACGGATCCATCATCGACTAGTAGTAAGTGGCTTTGTACCGATGACGAGACATGACGGCAAGCACACAACTTTTGGCTGCCTCTCTTCTTCTTTGCCAGCGGCGGCGCGCTTCTATTCCTGTCCAGTCCAATGCAATCCAATCTAGAAGCCCATGGGCCATGCCTCTTCATCCATGGCCGGCTGCGCACTTTGGTTCACGAGCATTTCTTGTTCTTATTCCGAAACGGCCCAACTCTGGACTTGCAGTTGGATCAGACCGGACCGGACCGGGTTGGGCTGGTATATACTCAACAGCCCTGCCTGGGTGGGATTTTTCTTTTTCTTTTCTTTTCTTTTTAACCTTTTTAATAATAAATATATTTTGATATTAACCTGGTCTTAAAATAATTCACAGATCTGACCCTTCTGATCGCGGCAGTATACCCGGCGTGACCTTTCACTGGTGCGGTGTCGCGCCAGGCCTCTTTTTCTCTCTCGTTTCTTCCCTCCCTTTCAACTTGTATGACTACCCAGCGGGAAAGGCACACATGCATGGCTACCCACTCTTGACCGTAGGTGGTGCATGAGGCATTTCGCGGCAAACGTATGATATTGTGCAGTGCAGGCGGCAAAAGAAGAAACAAGTAAGCAGGGAAGAAGTTGAAGTCTCTGTGTTGTTGCCGTACAGAGGACTTGTTCGAAGAAATGGCAGAAATCAGTGATGAGTTATGAAACGTGGCAAAAACGTGAAAATCTTCTCCGGAGCAGCGAGCGAATAACACACTGGAAAGAAAGAATCGGCTGTTGGTGGCCAGAAATTAAAGGGGGGCTAGAAACACATGCTGGCGTGCATAGAAACACGGCACAGCTAGTGCCCGGGTGTTCGCCCCCAGGTCCGGACGCATGCAACCGCTTCGCATCGGGCGTCCCCCGTGCTCGCATCAGATCCCGCGCCAGCGATTCGTGTCCGGCTGCCTACGACCGATCCCGCGCAAGCGACCGCGTCCGACCATCTGCGACTCGATCTCCATCCCGGTTGCGCCCCCGGCGTCAAGCCCGTCGCGTTACTTCCCTCGCCACGCTGCGCTCCTCCCCCACCGCACCACGCTCCTCCCCTCGCCGCAGTGCCATCCCGGCCGCGCCCGCGTCCTCCGCCGCGCTCTGTCTCGGCCGCGCTCCTTCCCCTGTCCTAGCGTCTCGTCTCCTCTGCAACTTCCATCCGACCGTTGCAACATATACAGTATACTATTGAAACATACTTGTATAGTCATTGCAACATCTAGATGAAAACACATGAAACATGTGTCTGAAACAGCTGAAACATTTGGAGAATACATTTGCAGCATATGTCTAAAACAGATGAAACATGTGGAACATACACTTAAAACATACGTGTGTAGCTATTGCAACATATACAACATCAGGTCCTTTTGCAACATCAAGATGAAACACATGAAACATATAGATAAAACACATGAAACATACAGATGAAACAACTGAAACACTTGAAATATATACTTACAACATACGTATATAGTCATTGCAACATACACAACATATAGATAAAACACTTGAAAACAACTTCTGAAACACATCTGAAACAAACACATGGTGCCGCCGATAGCCATGGCCTACCTGGTGGGGAACTGCGGTAGCCAGCAAGCGGCGCTCGGGTGCAGTGGAGAGGGAGAATGACGGCAGGCAAGCGGCTGGGCGTGGTGAAGAACGCCGCGCTGGAGCAGTCGCCGTGGACCACACTGCGTCGGCTCGAAGAACTCGGCGGCGAGTGGTAAGTGGTGGTGGGGAGACAGAAAAGCAGGCGGTGGTGCTCGGGCGCCGTGCAGCACGGGCAAGCCGTGGCGATGCAGGCACGGAGAGTTGGTTTGAGAATGGATGGAGAAACATCGGAGTGTTGCCTTTGATCGTTCGGGTGTCGAGGCCCACCAACCAACACGCGTCCGGACGAAATGTACGCCCTACCCACAGCAAAGAAACACGTGTTGGCCGGAACGCTGAATGCGGTCTCTAGGCCGGCCGCGCTGACGGCTGCTTGGCAGTCGGGGAGCCCGACCGAGAACGCAGTTAGTCCTGGGCCCTGGGCCGGTTCTTTTACAAGCCCGTGGGCTTTATATATAAAACACAACACGAATTAAAGAACGAGGCGCCATGCATGATGCATATAAGAACTGTGGATCTGGCCATTCCAATATATATATATATATATATATATATATATATATATATATATATATATATACCGGAAAACTTTGAGCATTTTGAAGTTTTTGCTATTTTTTCATATATATGATGAAATTAAAGCGTTATCTTCTTCTTTTTTATGGAAAGGACGGGGAACAACAAGTCCCCACCTAAAATATATTAACCACCAATCCTAGGCAAACTGGTGGTGGAGCGCAGTAGCCCGAGCAGGCAAAGGCCTGCAGGTTTTGTTTACAGGCGGGGAAGATTACATATATAGTGAACAGATGACACCACTCTGCAGGGAGAGCTGACGGCCTGCAAGTCTGAAGCTCACCTATGGAGGCTACGCTTGCCGAAGAAAGACAGAGCAATCGGCGATGTATGGTGTTCTATTTTATCTAGCGCAATGTAAAAGCCATAGCTTGTAAAATGAGAAGCTTGTGCTTGAAACTTCTGGCTTTCGGAGCCACTATATCAACAGATCTTTTATCAAAAAAAAAAAAAAAACAGATGTGCATCGCCGTGTCGCTCGATGTCGTGATGCGCGAGCGGTGGACGACAGTTTCATTGTGGATGGATGGATGGTGTCACAATGCAAGTCACAACAAGCTAGTCACATGCGCGCGAGCTGAGCCTGAGGCCTGATCTCGTCCGTGTCCGATTCATAGAAAGATCCTGCTGCCCACCACTAACTTGCATAGGATCGGAGAGGAGTA